CAACCGGCTCTCTGCTCGACAGGGAACCTGCTTCCCCCTCTCTCTTTCTGCCTGTCTCTCTGCCTACTTGTGATCTCTGTCAAATAAATAAATAAAATCTTTTAAAAAATAAAATAATAAGATGAAATTCCTTCTAGTCAGTTTTTCTCTTAATATAAGTGCTTGTTTGACCTCTCTGTTACTTTTGTTAAAGTCTGTACATTGAATTTTTTAAAATGTCAGTATTTAGGGGAGCTTGACTGGCTGGAAGAGCATGCAACTCCAGATCTGGGGGTTGTGAGTTCCAGCTCTACATTGGGTGTAGAGATTACTAAAAAAATAAATAAAACTTTACTTTTTTTTTTAAATTTTGTTTATTTATTTGACACAGAGAGGGAGACAGAGAAAGAAAGAGGGAATACAAACAGAGGGAGTGGGAGAGGGAGAAACAGGCTTCCCACTGAGCAGGGAGCCCAATGCGGGTCTCGATCCCAGGACCCTGGAATCATGACCTGAGCCCCATACATAGAACTTTTAAGAATTGTATTTTTAAAAAGAGTTATTGGTAATAAAGCCATGAAATGGTTAAGGTTCCCTAGGAAATGAGTGGGTGTAGATAGAAAAGAGGTCCAAGAACTAAGACATAATGAACAACTTGTATAGGAGATCCAAAAGGAATGACCACTGAAGGGAGAACCTAGAGAATAATGTTCTGAAAGAAGTAATGAAGGGACGCCTGCCTGGCTTAGTCCGTTAAGCGGCTGCCATTGGCTCAGATAGTGATCCCTGGAGTCCCTCATTGGGTTCCTTGCTCAGCGGGAGAGCCTGCTTCTCCCAGCCTGCCGCTTCCCCTGAGTGTGCTCTCTCTCTCGCTCTTTCTCTCTCTGACAAATAAATACAATATTTTTTAAAAAGTAATGAAAATTTGTCAAGAAGGAAGGACCAATCAATTATGTCAGCTGTTGGGGCACCTGGGTTGCTCAGTTGGTTAAGCGACTGCCTTTGGCTCAGGTCACGATCCCAAGGTCCTGGGATGGAGTCCCGCAATGGGCTCCCTGCTCATTGGGGAACCTGCTTCCCCCCTCCCTCTGCCTGCCTCTCTGCTTACTTGTGCTCTTTTCTCCCTCTGTCAAATAAATAAATAAAATCTTAAAAAAAAATTATGTCAGCTGTTGCTGTGTAGGTTGAGTGAGGACTGAGATAACCACTGATTTGGCAACATGGTGATCATTGGTGGTCTTGACAAGGACCGTTTCTAGGAAGTGAAGTGATTGGAGAGGGTTCTACAAAGAATGGGAGAAGTGGTGATATCATATATAGACAACTCTGTCAAGAAATAAAATGAGGGGCACCTGGGTGGCTCAGTGGGTTAAGCCGCTGCCTTCGGCTCAGGTCATGATCTCAGGGTCCTGGGATCGAGCCCCACATCGGGCTC